AACATGGTGTGGTTAAAGCGCGGTACGTGAGGCTTTCGAAGGTTAAGGTTAAAAATAAGTATACATATATATACATGTATTTATAACCTATGGTCAGATATATATATAAAGCTTAGTATCATTATACTCTTTCAAAAACAATAAAAATATTATTTTACAATGAATTGAGTTACGTCCAAGCTGTAAATAAACTTATTCTGACTGACAACATGGAGATGTAACATTGTCAGAATTAACATCATAGTATTACGTTATGAGGCCACATCACCGCATCTTACATCTGTTGACTTTTTAAATGCGGCTGTCTCAAACATGTTTAGTAAATATTCGTGATCTATATGGACATCCTTAATACATTTCAAATAATATTTAATTTTACATTTTAGTGTCAAAATATAAATAGATGCATTTTAATACATTTTCATTATTTATTTAAAATTATAACAGTTAAATTTTGTCCCAGTTTGTTCTTAAAATATTGACATTTATATTCATATGACCTTTATATTTTAAATAAATATAAATAATGTAACAACTAAAAGATAACTCATATACTTATTCTAATTATTATTTCAAAAACTGTATAAAAATAATTAATCTTTACTTGTACTAAATATTTGTTTATTTATTTTAAATCTTTTGAAAATATTGAATATTTATGTTTGAAATAATTATAATTTATCTATGAATCATTGTGAAAAATTAACAATTTTTTTTTCAAAATTTAGAATATAAATTATCCATAAAATAAAACAAAACATAAATATAGAAATATTTATAAATTTTAAGTACGCAATATTTGTTATATTACGTACTTAAGTTTTTGCGTACTTATTATATTATTACAGTAACAATTCTGAGAGGAACATGATGAGACACTGGCCAATCATAAGACTAGAACATCCATCTGTCCAAAAATGCGTAAAAATATTTGATTAAATTGATAAAACAAATAAAAAAATGTATTTTGAATATTTATTAAAATTAATCTTAATATATATAATTATTGATCTTTTTTTCTAACATAAAAACCGAAATTTTAAGCTCCTCTGAGGATTAATCCAAATGGCCACCACGGAGTCTCTACCTGAGTTTATATTAAGTATTGTATGATTTTAGCATAGTATACCAATTAATCAACTTAAATTATTGTACTTTTTCTACACTGTTTAAATAAATGAAGTTATAAAGATTGTTTTATTATAATTTTTGTTATTAAGAATTGTTTTAAAGAATTTTTTTAAATATTCTCAAAGAATTAATATATATTAATCTTAAATAATAATGCAAATATCATATAAATATTAAAGCTTATTAATAAAATATAATAAATTTAAAGAAGAAATGAGAAATTGTAAAATATACACTGTATATATTGCTATTAACATTGATTTGTAAATATAAAAATATTAATAATTTTAAAAATTAGTCATTTAAACCATTAAAATTTATGTATATACATAAACATAAAATTTTATGGTTTAAGTTTAGATTAATAAACAAAAATAATTAAATATTATCTTATATAGAACAATTATATTTTATATAATAAATACTATTAGCATAATAAAATATTTCAAACCAATACAATTCTTAAAGTATTACTCTATCATGCAATCAATGTTGTTATCACTTGACCATATCAGTAGTGATTATATAATCTATATTTAATTTTTATAATTAAATTATTAATATTATGTGAATATGCCACAAACAGAAATTTAAAAATAAATAGATTGACAACAGTTTTTTCTTTATTTTGCCCATAAATTTTACATTTGTAAATTTATAAAATCCAGGAAGTTAAACATAAGACGCCTTTAAAATTTTCTGGTGTGACAAAACAAATGTCACGCCCTCATTAACAATTCAAAACTTTGCTTCTCTCACATTTTGACCTTCATTCTCTGTTCCAAATCTTAATGGATATTAAACACAACAGACTCTTTCCGGAATAGCCCAATATTTTAATTATATGCACTAATTTTACATAAGCATTGCATATTTAACATATTAATATGTGATATCACGTTACGCAAAATACTTATTATAATTACTGTTTACTAATTAGTGTTAATTAAATATTGTTATTTATTACAAAAGTATTAATTAATTCCTTAACATTTAAATACGTAAAGTTATACTACTATACATATTTAACATATTACATAATACTTTATATCTATTAATATGTAACTACAGTATTATTACATAGTTTAATAAATAATTTATATCATGTAGGTCTACTTGTATGCTATAAATGGCAACTTGCATATTCAAGTAGGTCTATTTTTACATACAACAAACAATCAATGATATAAATNAACCAAAAATGTGGTATTCAGTATGGCCATTAAGCATAAATTCCACTACAGATCATATCATCACCTGAAAACTGGTCTGTTTCCACAATGTTCCACAATGTTCTATAATTGATAAATTTAATTTTTCAGTGCTATTGTATTGAGTTTCCTACTTTCTCTATATTGTAATTTGTCAAGAATCATTCTGTAAACTATATCTGGACAATGAACAGAATATTGACAGTCATTGAAAGTCCAATGCAATGTTGTTGACACTACCTTAAACAAACTCTTTTGTGTGTAGAGGTCAATGGAACACAACATATTGGGCATCTGACAAAAAGATTGCTTTTTGAAGCTTCCTTTAAACAATTTGTTGTGAAACTCAACACCAGGAATAGTAGTCTACAGATGACGTTGTTTCCAGCAAATTTTACTATTTCATGAATTGTTTTGAAGTTCAGAACTGTCAAGCTTTTTTGCCACCAATCATATTCCTGTTAGTTGTTGTGTAGTTCTTGTTGTTTTCAAGATGGCTACAGAAACTTTCTCACTCAATAGAGTAGATGTTGTAATTTATGGTTTTTTAATATTCCATTCACTCAGAATTGTTTTCTTTTTGATGTATCTTTATTTTTCTCAATAAATAAACAGACATGGTTAACAACAGAATATTGGAAGCAGCCATTTTGTTTTTCGAGATCACATTTTCTCTTGCTTGCAAATGATTGGCTGCTTAAAATTCAGTTTCTTTTTGCTTTTGGTTGTGTGGATCAATTTCACTAAGCAAATAAAAATTGCTTTTTGTTTTTTTTTATTTGCTCTTGCTATTCTCTCAGTGTGAACTAACCTTCAGTATCACACAGTTAAAACTGTAACAAACTGTCCATGATGGTTAAACTGCAGCAGAAGCAATCCCATGTTATTATTGTATCTATGAAGCCTGCATATTTTGCGTGAACTTGTTCTTTTAATGGAACATTTGAATACATTCTGAATAATTTTATTGTCTGGAAACATTTACATAAATTTTACATTATTTATTTTCTTTACAGTATTTTTGAATCTGATAAATATGAAAATTAATTTTATTTTGTAAAACTAATAGGAATGAATTTGTAGATAGATTTAAATTATAATTAATAAATTTAATTTTTCAGTTGTCTTTTTTAAGTATCTTTTAATATATTTATTTTTCAAATTAAGATCAAAAACCTTTTATTTATTAAATATGTTAATATTTATTACAGAAAGATATACTTACACTTCAAATGATATTTTTTGATGGTGAAGAAGCCTTCCAGCGCTGGAGTAAAGATGATTCTCTTTATGGATCAAAACATTTAGCCAAATTATGGAATACTAAAAAGTTTCCAGAAGGAAGGCAAAAAGATTTTTGTAAAAACCATGGTGACTTTGTCAGTTTTTTGGATCGAATGGTAAGTTAATTGCATTTTAAAAATATGATTTATCATAAGAGTATCATAAGTAGTCTAATTTGTATAATTATTAATACAGTGTAAAATTGATATTTTGAAATGCTAAAAAGTTATCTTATTTTCAAAAGTTTATAATTACAGTTTGTTTGAATATTAAGATATTAATATTTCAAATCATTTAACAATTTTAAAATTTTAAAACAAAGTCTACAGAAATGATTTCTTTATAATTCTAGAAAATATTTTGATAAAATAAAGATAATCATATTTTAGTATTCTAAAGAAATTTTTCTTAGATATATTGTTAAGATAGCTAAACATTGAATTTTCTTGAAGATTGATTGATTGATTTGCCAATGCAATTGACTAGCATATTATAGCAGTCAAAAGTTATCAGGTAGCCTGGCTTGCAATAGTGTTGGTTGCTATGGATAGGAAAATTCAATAATGAGTTGCTTAACTTTCCTGGCAACATTTTGTGGTGTCATATGTTATGATATTTTATTGTTAAAAACTTGTTATATTTTTAACTATTATAAAATGACAAAAAGCTTAATTTTGAGAGTAGGGATGTGCTTTATAAAGTCATTAAGTCTGATCCTATTGGAGATACACACGACCCTCTTTATCTCTCACCCCTCGACCTTTACTGACCAAAATTTAATCTCCCTAATAACTAAACCTCCCTGCAAAATTTCTGAAATTTTCGAGAAAAAATACAAGAGTTATTAAGCTTCAAATGGAGTGAACAAAATTGTGCTCTCCCCACACACTAACATCCATACATACAGGAAATACCCCAATTTTTTTCTCGCTGTTCTAAGATGTTCTGAGTCAAAAAATGTAAAAATCTTAAGGGGGGGGTCATTTTTGATCGGTCGCCATACTTTCCCCGTTACATATAACAGCTGGGAAAGTAAAAACAATTATAAATTATTTTTCATTTTCTACTTTAAAAAAATTTAATAATTAATTATAAATTGGTTTTACAGATATTTTAATAAAATAAAAATTAGAATTAAAAAATAATTACTGATAATTTTTTAATATTCAAATAAAATTTAAAGATTTCAAAGAAATTTTATATATCTATTTATTTACAGAATTAAATAATCTGTTAAATTTTTTATTTATTTTTAAAGTGTCATTTGAGCAATTTTTAAAAATATTTTATATTTACATTTTGTAATTTTATAATAATAATAATAATAATTCATTTATTAGTCATATTAGGCAAAAGCCTGTTATTACAGGGAGTTATAACATAGAATGGACATTGATCATAGTCACGATTATACATTCCAATGTGTATCAGTTAGTATTACTATATACAATGTCAGGTCAATTCAATTTCATTTATCCTTTTAGGATTGATTACAAAAGGTTTTTATATAATTATATAATTTATAAATCATAGCAATATTTGCACCCTGGAAGAAACAATACATTTGATTTTCTTCTGTGATGAAATTTAATTGTTTCAAATCCATTTTAATTCTTAGATCGTAGCCTGTTTTACATTCGCANAGTTGCCGATCTTGCCCCTATACCCGGGGCAACTTCGTCAATTTCTCTCTTCTTGTAAAGTTGTAATTATTTTAATTATTTTTATTTCCAAACTGATTTTAACCAGTTCTATAGTAAGGTAACATTCCAATAGACAATATGCAAAGTTTTTTTTTCAGTTTACAGCAGTATTTATTACACAAAATTTAAGTAAAGCTTAACATGCCGATCTTGCCCCGATCTCCCCTAAATATACAAGATAATCCATATTATTTTTTATATAATATGATTTTGTTAATTGCCCATTATTAGAGTATATAATATTGAAAGGTAATTTATAAAATAAATAAAAAACATTTCTTTTTTAACAATAAAATAATGCATTTTTTCTTATATATCGGAATCAAAAACACATGCCATGTGAAGTCAAATAATTAGAAAAAATAAGCCTAAAGTATATTTTTAATTTCTTATACATAAAAAAAATCTATTAAAATATATCTATAAATCTATATTATATATCAAAAATATATATAAAATTATATTATATTATATATTCGTTATATTCTCTGTTGTTTGTTATTTGGGAGATCTTACATGCCTTGAAGCATTCTTAAGAAATGTAAGACCACCCAAATAACAAACATTGTCTTTCATTATGTAATAATAAAATAAATATTAAAAATAATATAAATTTCAATACATTATTATATAATTTTAAAATTTTATTTAATTACAACTGAATGAAATTTATTTAAAAATATATATATAATTAAAATTTTGTCATTACATTATATTATGTACAGGATAAAAATTAACCAAAAATCTGTTAACCAAAAATTGTTTACGATTATTTAAAAATCTCATTTAAACAATTTTTTGTAAACTTTTGTAAACTGACTTTTGAGCTATTCTGTTTATAATCTTAGAAAAATTATTTTTTAGATTTTATTTTATTATTTTTTTTAATTTTACGTTAATTAATATTAACAAATTACTTATAATTCCATGAACTTAAAAAAAAATACGATTTTATTCTAAATTTTAAACTTATAAATTCATGAATGTGAACGATATAGGTCTAGTTGTAAACTTTAGTTAGATGGAAAAAGTTGTATTTAAAGAAATATATTTGAAAAAATTAATTATTTATATTTTAATAAACTTATCTTATAAAATTTGATAAATAAATTAAATATAATTCTTAACTGTTGTAAAGGTCAATTTCACCTTCGTGAAGCTGTAAAGCAAATTTAATATAATATAAAGTTTAATATATTAAACAAACTGATATAAAGTTTAAAATAACAAGTCTGAATTATAGCAAGTCATTATAATTATAAAATGTATATTAAGCCAACTTTTTACTTATAATTCAATTGTTAAATTAGGTTACGAATTTATTTATTTTTTAAAATAAAATAATATTAACAACTGTAAATTTTACACTCAAATTTATAAATTTGAACATAAAGAACTCCTATTATAGGACTACCCATTATGGATTCTTAAAAGTTCTCTGAAATTAGAAGGCCATGGGCTCTTCTGATATTAAAAGTTTCCAATACGTTCCTTCCCACCCTCTTATAGACGATCGTGAAGTTCTGTATAAATTGCTATACAAATGAAACTTATTTCAACATATAGTAAAAACGTTATTGTCTTAAATATAGTTTACATGAAATGAGTAAAATCCTTACAAACTCATTTCATTATCCTTTAATATTTGTAAACGGATGATAAATAACTATTTGTTTAAGTATTTATAAAATACTGTATAAGTAAATTAAAAACCCAGCAACGAGTTGCTTAACTTTGCCGGCATTAAATTTGGTGGCACCATCTGTTATGATATTTTATTTTAAAAACTTTTTATATTTTTAACTATTATAAAATGACAAAAAGCTTAATTTTGAGAGTAGGGATGTGCTTTATAAAGTCATTAAGTCTGATCCTATTGGAGATACACACGACCCTCTTTATCTCTCACCCCTCGACCTTTACTGACCAAAATTTAATCTCCCTAATAACTAAACCTCCCTGCAAAATTTCTGAAATTTTCGAGAAAAAATACAAGAGTTATTAAGCTTCAAATGGAGTGAACAAAATTGTGCTCTCCCCACACACTAACATCCATACATACAGGAAATACCCCAATTTTTTTCTCGCTGTTCTAAGATGTTCTGAGTCAAAAAATGTAAAAATCTTAAGGGGGGGGTCATTTTTGATCGGTCGCCATACTTTCCCCGTTACATATAACAGCTGGGAAAGTAAAAACAATTATAAATTATTTTTCATTTTCTACTTTAAAAAAATTTAATAATTAATTATAAATTGGTTTTACAGATATTTTAATAAAATAAAAATTAGAATTAAAAAATAATTACTGATAATTTTTTAATATTCAAATAAAATTTAAAGATTTCAAAGAAATTTTATATATCTATTTATTTACAGAATTAAATAATCTGTTAAATTTTTTATTTATTTTTAAAGTGTCATTTGAGCAATTTTTAAAAATATTTTATATTTACATTTTGTAATTTTATAATAATAATAATAATAATTCATTTATTAGTCATATTAGGCAAAAGCCTGTTATTACAGGGAGTTATAACATAGAATGGACATTGATCATAGTCACGATTATACATTCCAATGTGTATCAGTTAGTATTACTATATACAATGTCAGGTCAATTCAATTTCATTTATCCTTTTAGGATTGATTACAAAAGGTTTTTATATAATTATATAATTTATAAATCATAGCAATATTTGCACCCTGGAAGAAACAATACATTTGATTTTCTTCTGTGATGAAATTTAATTGTTTCAAATCCATTTTAATTCTTAGATCGTAGCCTGTTTTACATTCGCAGAAAACGTGATATTTTGTAAATAATTCCTGACATCTTGGGCAATTACTTTTGGAAATTTCATATATTCTATTATTAATTAAAATCATATTGCTATTTAATCTTAGTTGAATGAAAAACTTCTTGACTGTAAACGACATATTAGATAGTATATAATTGTTATTGAAAGGGTAATTTAGCAATATTTTATACCATTTAGGCTCTCTTCTCTTGTGTATTTCTTCAATATCTTGAGCTAATGAGATTTCCAATGCATTATGTATAAGTTGTTTTCTTATAAGGTCGCTAATTTCTGAATTTTCTAGTATTGGAGATATAGAAACTCCGTATTCATTGATTATGTTCTTCATTTGACTAATCCAGGTATTTTTTTGGGGTTTTTGACACATTTTTTTATACAGCAAATATAATAGTTTTGTTGAAAGATTATTATTGTCTCTGATCTTATATAGAAAATTAACGAATCTTTTGATAAAAAAAGGAGCCAATCTAAATCTGCTGAGTTCAATTCTAAGAGCATAACCAGCAATATTGTATTCCAATGTAAACAATTTTCGAATAAACTTATTTTGAATGGATTCAAGTTTCTTATAATTGGTTAGACTCCAAATAGGTGAGGCGTAGGATATCGCATTAAAAATTATAGAAGTAAATAGTCTAAAATGACTAAATATATTTTTAAGCTTAATATGTGTACAAAGTTTCATCATATTATTAATCAGACAGTTTGATTTGTGAACGACTTTTTTATATTGCTTTTCAAAAGTTATTGTAGGGGTCAGTATAATTCCCAAAAATTTTATCTCTTGTACTATCTCTAATTGTACTTTGTTCATCGAAAATGATGTGCTTTTTTTTGCAAGTTTGGATCCATTACGAAATATCA